AATTGAGTAGTACTGGGGTCCATGGGATAATGATGCCCTGTGGGATAATGCAGTCAGGCTTTGCTGAGCCACTGTGGACATACCTGTAACTAGCACCTCCGATTCTAGTGCTAGCTCTGCCCAGACAATTTCATAGTTCCTGAGAATACTGCATCTTTTTAAACTATACGCAGCAGAACTCAGTCTGTGGACTTATTCCTCTGCTACAAGTTGTATGCAAAATAACCCCAAACAGGTATTTTAACCCCAAACAGCTGCTAACTGGCAGCAGCAGAAAGGGAAAGATGAGCCTGGATTCAGCAGAGTAGTAAGATATCTGTCTCGAGATGGAGAGGACTGGGCTCAGCAGCCTTGGTCTGTGGAACAGTGAAAGAGCCCAGATCCTAACCTGAAGGTCAGCCGCACAAGCTATGCCTTATCCTGATTTCTTTTGCCTTCCCTTCTGGTCAGTTTGACAGCTTTACACTTGTTTAAGTACAGAGAACAGAGAGTGGCTTCCCAATATGTTATCTACGGCAGAAGCGATGTCATTTTTTGAGACCATTTGGAGTTTGTTTGTTTTTATAATGAATAAAGGCTATTTATATGAGTTGCCTCCTATAGAGGCCAAATTCCCCAGTTTGTTCAAGGACCAGACGCAACAGCAGCCACTCTACTCAGGAGCGCTGTGAGACTGCTCTTTCCAAGTGCCCGAGAGTAAGAGTTTGCGCTAAATAAACACATCAGCCAGTTTGGAAAGTCTCTATGCCAAGGACTAATGAATCTGTCATATTTGCTGCTCACCTAAAAAAACTAAATTGGCTTAAATCAATTTATAATACTGCACCACTGGCTGTTGTTAATCACTGTAAGCCAGAACTAAAGATCTGTTCCATTGTCTTTAGAATGAAAGATGATGGAGTAAAAACTAAAAAGGGGTGGCAGTGCTCAGTAAATAGAATACATGGTGTCACATCTGTGCTGCTGAATGTACACTCTAGTAAAGTACCTTTAGGTGGAGCTGATACCCATCGAAATTGTGCCAATGTGCAAAACGCTTTTTTCAGAAACAGGCAAAGCCAATAGCTTTTTCCATGGCTTTCAAGAAGTCAGATGCTAGTTAAAACCTGTGAATATGTATACATTCCTTTATATGGATAATTAGCTGCTTTATGTGTGGCGCCTCCTGGATTAAAGAAAATTTTTCTATGCAAATAAGAAGTGGAATAGACTGGTCAAATGTCTATGTGGAAAAAACCACCTCTTTTATATAAACATGTAGCATTTAGCTAGGTGAGTTTTTTATTTCATAGACAGTGCTAACTCCTAGACAGCTCCCATGCATTTAAAATCTGTTGTTCACTCAGCATTGTTCTGTTAAAGAATGCCTGTATACAAACACTGAGGATGAACAATGAATTTTGTAGACGCAGGCTTAAATAAATGAGACAAAAACACATGTCTTGGAACTGGCTTTTTCAATTTTTTCACTAAATACTGAAATTCTTATCCTATTGAAATCAATGGCAAAACTTCATTGACTTCAGTAGGGCCAAGTTTTTACCCCAAACTCTTTTTCAGTAATACATAAATTTGGCCCAAGTTTGTCTCAAGATACTGCTTTCAACTGTTTCTTCTGTTCTACTGAATAACAGAGTGGATTGATATTTAAGAATGAAAGCTCATCAAGTTTAAATTTCAGTTGTTCTATAATAATAGCCATATGTTTGTCATAGATTGTGTAAGTCTGAATTTTTGGTAATTTAAAACTGCTTTAAAGTGACCTTTACATGGTTCCACATTTTAACATTTTCTAGAAGTGGTTGGTATTGGTCCTTGCGCGTAAATCCTTACATTAAAAGAATCTGCAGGCCTAGGCCCTTAGTTAACAGGCTTATAGTAAGCAATTCCTGCAAACATTTATATACACACTTAAACTTTCAAATCGAGTCTTCGCATTGAAATCAACGTAACTGCTCTCAGTGGGTAAAGTCAGACCAGGATGTAATGTTAGCTTTTGAGAAAGGGCACTTTCTTCACTTATGGTAGACAGGACACTAAGCAAGGCTGGATCTTTAGGCTGAGCCTGTGTAGCTCTTCTTATAGTCTCCTCTAGTTAAAGGGTGCAATACATAAAGAAATTACATGGGAAATAACATTTCTTTCCTAGTAGCAGGCTAGTTTTGCTGGGAGGACAGATATACTGGAGAAACTATGAAGGCTGTAGCCCAGCCGCACTACCACTGCTCGGTAGTGCCATGTGATAGGTTTTCCTTCCCCATTTTCCCAACCACACTGCAGTGGCATTTCACCTTTTACTTGGGCTGCTCGTGTGGTGGAAAGTTCTTGCCTCCCTATAATGCTCCTCACCCTGTTCACCTTCATTCGTGTCTCACTCCTTGCATGCCTGCGATCCTTCTAAAAGGCCATGTTATTCTAGTTGTACTGATTTTCCCCTGACTTCATATCTGGCTGCGAGTATTTCCACTGTTACAGTAAGTGTAATACACAGTGCATATCTGCAGTGCTTTTCAACTCAGACCCCAGCACCTCGAAAGTGTTTTCAGTTTGCAAACAAGGAATCTGAGGCACATCAGCTAAAGCTTTTTGCCTGAGATTGCACAGCAAATCAACAGCAGGATTCAGACTGGAACCACGTCTCCTGGCCTGTCCTCCCAATGCTTTGTTCCTTAGTCATGAACTGGAAAACAGACTAGCAGAACTGAAAGAGCATAGAAAGTGTCACACTCAAAATAAGATCAAAGCAAGTTTTGATATGTTGACAAAAAGGAAACGTTGATTGAAATCTGCTCTGGTTTGACTGATATCTTAATGGTCCCCTTACTTGTGTGGAACTTTTTTACTACTCCCATGACGTTTAATGTTAAAGTGCTATACGTGCAGCACTTTTCCCATGTGTAAGAAAAATCCTGGCCACCTACCAGCTGGCCAGATTTCCTTTACCTTAAATATACTATTGTGTTCAAAGAACAGTGTTTCAGCATTTAGATGAATGATATATTTGAACCTAAATTAGATATTTTTGGTGAAAATATACAGTATGGCAGATAGGCATTGTGGATCTGTATGGCCCACTCTAAATTCTGTTTCCTGACTCATAGCTGAAGAGATTCACTCTCATATTTCCTATGAAGTACCTCTGCCTCTTGAGAGGCTTGATATTCATTTGGCCCTCAATCCTGCAAACGCTTTAGCACAGGCATGCAAGTAACTCCACTGGTACTGATCATACACTAAGCAGATACATATGTTCGCAGAATCAGGTCTTGTTTAGGTAAGAAAATATTCTTGTAGTGTTTTTTTTTCTTTTGCAAAACTCCAGCTTTGGAAAAGAAATGCTATATGAATTTGAGGTAATAAATTCAAGCTCCAATATCCTTTTATTGTCACATAATACAAAATGTTTGATATTCTTGGGAAATACACACAAATATTCAGCCAGTTATGCAAATCTGGGACCTGATCCTGCAGCCATACAAAGTGTCTTTCATTAATTCAAGTAAAAACTGGCATATAGAATTCAGTGCTGTTGTATTTTCAGTACTTTGTCAAAAGATAATGATGTCAGGCAATTCAACCTCTGAATTTTTTTTATAGTTTCGTAATAGCTACGATGAACAGAAATATTTTAAAACTATTTGCAGTGCAGTACCGCCATAAAAATGCATCATGTGCATACTAACAAATACTGCAGATACGTGTCTACAGAGATGCATGGGTGTACACACATTGTCCCATGTGAAGAGCTGTAGTGTTTGCAACCCAAACAGCCAGCGAAGCATTATGTAGTGCAGGAGGACCGCAAATAGAACTGGCAAGGACACAGTAGTGAATAGAGATTAAACTGATTGCTTTATTGTTCAGAATTAATAATATACAAAAGAAAAAGAATATAATAATTACAATCGGTCACTTCAGTTTTAGGAAAAATGATTTACAGCCACAGACTGCATTGCAAGCATTCCTAATATTGTTTCCTTTGTAAAATGAAGAGAGGTGTACTCTAAAATAACCCTTCTGAGATAGTGGGAGATCCTATGAAAATGTTTTAGAATTTTACACAGGTTTCCTGTGTGATACTTCATGTCTCACCGAAGCCTCCATAAAATACAGGATCAGGACTTTGAGTGGTCATCTGGCCTTTCTTTGATCTCTTCCGTGCCCCGCTCGTGCGGACGCTGAACCAAGCGGCAGAGCTGGTACAGACAGCTGACGGGGTGAGGAAGACAGTTAAAAAAATCCCATTGTTTAGATTTCTGTCACAAGCTATGAGAATACTTAATTTCCTTTATCTCTGGAGTTTTCATTATCATTTAAATTTCATTTCCCATTAATTGATCAGGGATTAGTGCAGCCATTATGCAGAAATTAGACAAGCCAGATGCGATGAATAATTCATGGCGGGCAATTACATTTTGATTCCTGGTGTACTTTCGAACTTGCCTCTGACTTCCCGGGCGTTTGACATGACAGCGTTTGCTCCCAGCCCAGCGGCGCCCCGCGTCGCGCCCCAACGGCCGCGCCGCCCGGCCCCCTCACCCGCACGTTTG